TGACAGGTGGGGGCCTCATATGTCCATTTCCCTGGCAAAGCTCATTGCTGATGGGCCTCACACGTGTTATGTAGAGCTTGGTGAGTCCTGTGTTTTTTGCCAGGGCTGGTCCAAGTGTCTTCCCTTAAGAAACGCCAAGAGGGACCTTCTTAGTCACTGTTTATTCCTTCAAAAAATGATACTGATGCTCGCTGTGTGCCAGGGTCTCTGCTGGGCACAAGGGTCACAGAGTTGAACCCAACATAGGCCTGCTCTGCTCTCAAGGATTTCACATTTAATAGGGGAGACATAAATACAAATTAATGGGATGTAAGCTATTCTAGAATACAAAAAGGGAGGCATGAGAACAGAGTGGGGGCTGACCCTGCCTGGTGGGGTCAGGAATGTGAGGACAGAGGAGAGAACCTTTAAGACTGAGGGACTCCCCACACATGTGCACGCACAGTGGAGAGCAGACACAGGAAAGAGCGAATGTGTGGAGGCCGAGAGAGCACAGGGCACTGGCTCTGGTGGCATGTGGGGGGAGCCAGTGAAATGAGGGAGGAACTATGGGCACCCGAGAGATGCTGAGAGACTTGAATGCCAGAACCAGGAACCTGGCATGACCATATCAGTGGTGAGGAGGCAGGGAGGGCTTTAAGAAGTGACAAGGCTGGATTCCTTAGCAGCGGTTGTAGGGGATGGAGTGGGGTGGGCAGGGGCAGAGACGAGAGGCTAGGGGACTGTTGGAAGGCTTGTGCCATAGTCTATAGGCAAGAAGTGACAAGGCCAGCGCAGCTATGGTGGAGAGGAGGAAGTGGTGGTAGGGGCAGGAAAGTGCGGGCCGTGTGGGGTTAAGAAACCCTGAGAGATATTCAGCATGTAAAATGGGCAGAAGCCCCACCCACCCATCCACCCTGCTCTCCACTCCCTCAGCACTCAGCCAGTCTGACCTCTGTCCATGTCTCAAAAGTGCTGGGAACAACATGCCTCCGGGCTGGCCCCCTGTGTGTAACACTTGACGCCTTTCTTCACCTGGCTAACAGGTCCCCATCCTTCTAACCTGGGGTCAAGGTGTCAGGAAGGGTTGCCTGTTTGTCTGGGCTGGGCTGGGCTGCCTTGGGCCCCATGTCTACTGTGCTTCCATCCTTCCAGAATCTGGCCATTACACTCTCTCTCTGCCTGGGCAGTCACTCATGGATCTGAATTTGACCCTTCTCCATGGTTCCAGCACCGAGCACAGGTCTAGTAAGGCTGGTCTGAAGAAATGCACAGAGGAAAACAGATGCCCTGATTGAGCAGAGTGCTGAGCGGGCCCCCTGGGCCTGACACGCCTGGACAGACGCTTTCAGCACCGTGGAGAGCTCCCGGCAGGAGGGGCGACCCCCGCGCCGCCTCCCTGGGAACAGGGCTCAGACTCCTTGCCTAGCGCTGGGTCTGACCCCGCAGGCTCTCAGAATCGGGGACTTTCCTCTTCCTCAGACACTTCCAGGGCTGGGAGGAGAGGGCCGTGGTCTCCCACTGTGTAGGGAAGTCCCTTCTTTGCTGAAGAGCCCGAGGATGACAAGGTTCTTGTACACCCAGGAATCAGCCACTTGTAGTTCCAATGCTTGGTCTTCCTGACCCTTGCAGCCAACCATGTGGCAGGTCCTACAATCACCATGGGCCAGTTGGGGAGACTGGACTCAAGCTCCTTCACTCCTTCAGCGAGTCGGGCCCACCCACAGAGCCCCAGTTGGGGAAACAAAATGGCCCTGCTGAGTCTGTGCTTTTCCAGGCTGAAGACCGCCCCCTCCTGTATTTTTGCAGCCTGCACAGGGCCTTAGCCTCCAGCCCCTCCCTCCTGGCCGCCTCTCTAGTTCTTGCCTCTGACCACGCAGGCCCAGAGGGATGCTGTACTTGGTTTGTTGAAAGTCTGAAATGAGCTTCTCTTTTAATTTCAGTGACTTTTCACAATAATTTTCTTAGAAGGTGAACCGGCTCTCTGGCAGTTAGATTCTAGTGCTGTTTCCCACAGGCCAAGGCTGGTGCCACCCCATGTGCTCTACACAGTTTGAGACAGAGCAGTGACTCCCAAACTTTCAATCAGACAAATCTCCTGGGCACCTACTAAAATGCAGATGCACAGGCATCCCCCCCAGGAGTCTGGTTCAGCAGGTCCAGGGCCCAGGAATCTGTATTCCTAACCCATGGTCCCAGGTGATTCTTACAATTGATTAGAGTGGTCGATGATAGGCAGGTAGAACTGCATGTACCTTGCAAAGCAGATAGCTCATGCAAAGGCCCTGGGGCATGAGAGAAAGTGGTGAGATCAAGGAATCTCACTGATGTCTTCCATAGACTCAGAATAAAATCTTCTTGCCTTTTGCCATGATTTGTAGCCCTGCAGCCCCCTGTTGCCTCTCCACCCCACAGCCTGGCTACTCTCACCAGCCCAATAGCCCAGTCACACCGGTGTCTGTCAGTCTGAGAAACAGGCCTATGTGTTCGCTGTTCCTCTGCTTGAAATGCACTCCCTCTGGCCTTACCATGGCTGATTCCTCCTGATGCTGCACATTTCAGCTTCAATGTCACCTCCTCACAGAGGCCACCCTGGCCATCTGTCTAAAGCAGGGAGCCCCTTTCTTCTCTAGAATCATGCCCTGTTTGTTTCTATTGTAGCATCAATAATTATGGAGAATAACCTTGTTAACACGTGTTCCCTGAGGCCAGGGCCTCTGTTTTGTTCATGCTGCGTCGCTAGTACCTAAATCAGCATCCCACAGAGGCAGCGGTGGGCAATGAGATATGCAGGGGATGGAATAAGAGTTCCATGCGGAAGGAGTGGGAAAGGGGCAGGCTAAAGTGGGAAGTAGGGAGCAGGCACCAGAGCATGGTTGCTAGAGTGGTCCTGCCAACCTGCACCCACCCCCGCCCCAGGAAGATAGGCCCCACAGTGGCCCAGATCAGATGGGACCTTCTTGGTCACTCAGTTGCTTACAGCTCAGGTCCAGGGATTTCAGGCCAGTGTGGGCCGTCGGGAGTTCAGCAAGGTACTGGGCCACCTGCTCCTCCAGGCCATTCTCTGCCAGCTGTACTTCTGCATGGCCAGGCACACTGCAAGGGCGGCACACACAGTCTGGGTGCCCATCACTCCCAGCTCATTCTCCGACAGGTCCACATCTGGGAGATGCCACCAGTTCTCACTTGGCGGGATCCAAAGTCAGGTACCACCCTCCTCCACCATCCCCCAAACTTCCAGGCCTGAGGCAGTGGAAGGGGCTTTGCAGATGGACTGTCCTGGGGCTGCAAGGCCACTCTGCAGCCCATCAGCTGGATACACTGACCCCCACCTCAGGTGAAAAGGAGCTTCTTTGTCATGGGGTTAAAGCCACCTCCTTTGTGGTGCTGTGGAGGATGCTATGATGGAGCTGCAGCCACCTCGTTGATGACTCGTGCCTGGAAGCAACATAACCCCCCACTGAAGCCCTCACTGCTGCACCTCTGGGGACTGGCAAGGACAGTCTAAGGGGCCATGCTCAGAGCACATACACAGGCCTCTGCTGAGCATATAATGCTCATCACAACCACAAGGGCTAAGTGCTATTGTTGGGTCCATTTCGCAGATTGGAAACTGAGGCTCAGTGAGGTTGGGTGGCTTTCCAGCATCACTATGCTCTTCTGTGGCAGAGATGTCATATGGATCCAGCCGCATCAAAGTTCCACCCAGCCCTCCCTCCTCTCACAATGCCAGTCCCTGCCTCTCTGTGTTGAAAGACTCTCCCATCCTGCATTCAGGCATTGGGAGGCCACCATATATGGAGTGGTGCTGGCCAGCAGAGGAAGGGGCAGAGGGGTGGGATGGGACTGGAAGGGAGTGGCATCCAGCCTTGGGTGCACCCCAGAGGGTCTACATCCACCCCCACCCACCCCACCCTCTGATGAGGCCCCTCCCCCAGCAACACCAGCAGGAGAAGGCCTGGCGGTAGTGGGGCCCAACCCCTCAGGAAAGGGAGAACTCAAGTCTGCCCACCTGTCCCAGGCTTGGCAATTACCACGGATGCTGCTGCTTTTGCTCAGGGCACCTGCCAGGACCACTGCACCAGCCCCACAGAACCCATTGTCCTGAAGGTCCAGCAGCTTGACATAGGGATTAGAGGTAAATGGGGAAGTCAGAGCCCGGGGCCCCTGGGAGAGAGAGGGGACTGAGAGGCCTGGTCCTTCCAGGGCTGAAGGCCCCCCACACAGCTGCTCACTCCCTTGGCTCACATTCCCAAGGCTCAGTCTACTCGCTGCCCTCCAACTGGAAGGCCCTCCTCTTCCCACATGCCCAGGGGATACTTGCTTCTCCTTCTGGGCTCCACCAGACCTCCTGGAGACTTCCCTGACCCTCCCCCCCCAGTGCATTAGGGGCCCCCTGCAGGCTCCCCAGCCCTTATACTGATTTCCATCATAGCCTGGATCCCATCTGTCGCCCAGATGTGGGAGACGGGACATACCCGGCACAGAGCAAGGCCAGGGAATGTGTGGGATGGGCTCATGGAGGGCCACTCCTGTGGCTGCTGACTCCCAGGTCCTGCCCCTCCAAGCCTGGCCCAGGGTCCCTCCAGGGGTACCTGGGTCCCCAGGCCACAGTGCCTCAGGTTCAGCTCTGGGGCACTTCTCTGGTGCAGAAAGCAGCAGGCAGCCATGACGCTGTGGGCCCGGCAAGACCTCAGGGGGAGGGTGTCCTTGATCAGTTCTCCAAGTCTATGGATAGGCGACAGGGAGTAAATGTTGCTCCCTCCCCAGGAAGGCCACCTGCCTCCTCCTCTGCCATCTGTCGCTACCCAGCCTGTTTCCCCTCTAGAGGCATTTCTTTCTGTGCTAGTAGCAATCCTGCCCCCATATCCAGATGGGGACATCGAGGCTCAGAGAAAGCAAATCCTTTCCCCAAAGTCACACAGCTAGTAGTAGCTGATCCCGGCAGAGCCAGACTGAGGGCCCTGCCTGTCTGACACTGAAGCGCATGCTGTGTCTTTTCTATTGCATCGAAGACCACATGTGTTTTATGAGCATTTTATAGAGGAAAATCCTGAAACAATTCTGAGTTCTATACATCCATTAGCTTAGTTTTTCTTGAGGGTTGGGAAAACCTAGCCCTGATCCCATTTCAGGAAGGGGTGGGAAACCCCTTCTTAGACTCTTTGGCTAGGTTTTTGCATTGTAAGATCCTTCTGGAAGCTTGTGCTAATGGTGAAACAAGTGATGCTGCCAAGAGCACTTCCAGGAGGGCACAGGGCTGGAGGGGTTGCCTGGAAGTGGTCCCAAAGAGGGATGTGCTCTCTGCTGCACTGGGGTCCCCTGCCTCCTCGGCCTCAGCCTGCCCCCTCCACCTCTGCCTAGCAGCCCCCAAGGTGATGGGACAGACCTGAACCCCCTGCCCACCGTATCTTCTGTCTTCAGGTCCGAGTCTCAACCTGCACCAGAACCCTCCTGGGGCTCCGCGACTCCTGCAGGACACCCAGCGGCCGCTGCCTCCTTCCCCGCCTGCTGGTCATTCTCCCCAGACCTCTCGCAAGGACCCCTCATGGTTACACCCATTTCGCAGTCACAAGCACTGAGGCTGGGACTGAGCCAGGGGACACCTAGAGCACATCCGGGGATGTGGGCGGGCCCGCCGACTGCGTGGACCAATCGAATGTGGCGGACAGTGAACAGGCGCCCCCACAGCCAGGAGACACTCGCTCCTGGCGGCTGTCACTTGGTAACCCGTGCTGCTGGTTGCTGTGGAAACCGCCACTGGCCTGCTGGGACCTTGAGTCTCCTCCCGGGAGGATGCAGAAGGGCGCACGCCTCGGGCCAGGCGCAGAGCTGGGCGCCTTGAGGGCGCTTGTTCCCGCTGCCTTCCGTGTGGGTCCCGCATCGTCCCCCTCCGCGGGCTGGGGAACGTGCCTGACTCCAGAGCTGTGCTTTAATGCCTGTGCTTGTGGGGTTGGCCAGCTCTACCGGGCATCCCACAGGATGACCTGGGGGACCTTGCAGGGTCAGCCACCCTCCTCTCTGGAGCCAGAGTCAGGCTGTCACTCTGTGGGTCCCAGGTCTCTCTCATGCTCTAGCGTCGCATGTACGGCTTCCTCCACCAGGAACGTTCCTCCCCAGCGTTGCTTGTGGAACTTCAGAATCTGCAAGTGTCAGCTGAGAGCTCCCTACTTCCTGAAGCTTTCCTTGGCCCCTCCTCTGGGCTCCTACTGCCCTCTCAAAGTACCTACAACACTGTCATCCCCTGTGTCCCCAAGGAAGTGAGGCCAAAGGGCAGGGGAGAGGGGCTGCTCCTCTCTGTGCCCTCGGGCCCAGTAGAGGGAGTCTGGAGGGGAAGGGAGGCCCAGGGCAGCTGGGGGTTTGGCCTGAGCCCAGGGCTGGGGTGGGCTGGCTCCTGCCCTGAGTGGAAGTGTCCCTTTAGCAGCTGCTGGCCTGGCCTGGCCTGGGCACCTGCTGTACCTCCTGTTGAGCTGGGGCTGCAGCTGCTGTGCTGACTCCTGGCCCATGGCAGCCAGCAGGAGCTGAGAGCATGGGCTCCCCAGGGGCCCACAGGCTGGGCATTTCCGGATTACAGAACTGAGAAGTGTGTGATGACCAGGACTGGCAGCTGGGCGCCCTGCAGAGGCGGCTGCAGCTGGGGGTCACGGCCTAAGTGGTGGGTTGAGAGAATGGCGCCCAGGCAGGTTGGCTGCAGGGACCATGACTGGTCCTGCTGGGCTGAGGGTTGGCAGTCTGACTCTCCAGGGACCAGGCTGGTGGTGGTGGAGGGGGCAGGTTGGGACAGGGTAGGGGCAGAAGGAAGGATCTCCCTCTGTGTAGAGGCCAGCAGGGACACGAGCAAGCCACGTGCTTGCATCCTCCTCTGCACCCACCTGCCTCCTTTCCTGGGCCTTGTCCCAAGTTACATGTTTGACTCTGGGCACGGAGCAGGATGGGTCTTACCCCAGCCCAGGAGGCCCCGGGAGGTGCAGGAGTTAGTCCCTGCCACATGTGAGAGCTGGAGCACTAAGGCCCCTGAGAAAGACCACCAGTTGTGGCTGGGTCAGAGGGGCCTTTAAGGAGGAGCTGGGTATGGCCGGGGCAGGGGTCTGGCAAAGGCGGGTGAAGGAGGTGGTGGCAGGCACCTCAGTCTGAGAGCATGGGCTCTCCGATGCATGGCCGGGACTTCTGGCCTGTGCAGGGTGTCTGGGGTGGGAAATGAGGCTGCAGAAGAGGCGGGGGCCCTGGACGCTGTGCTGGGAGCCTATAGGGTGTGTAGGGGCCGAGTGGGTAGGGCCCAGCTCAGCCACTGCTCACCATGTGCTGGGGACACACCACACTGCCCATCGCCTCACCCCAGGTGGGCCTTCCTCACCAAAAACGGCTACCGGGAGCAGCACCTGGACCCCCAGATTTCTGTCATCATAAAATCCAAAGGGGTTTCCTAGACCCAGATGAAGGAGCTGGGGAACTGGCTATGGGAGCTGGTTGACTTCATGGAGCCGCCACAGCTGGTGTCTTGGTGCTGCTGCCAGGCGCTGCCACCTCTCATCGCTCCCCTGCAGTGAGTTTGTGCAGGGGGACACATGATGCCAGAGGGTGTATGGGCGCTGTTACAGGGCTGGGCTCAGGAACGGCCTGACAGAGCAGTGGCCCTGGACAGGGCTCTCGGGGGTGTGTAAGAGGTCTGCAGGAGGACAAAGGAGTGAGTTGGGAAGCCAGGCCAGAGGTACTGCATTACACAGGTGCATCTGGGAGAGCAGAGGGTCTGGGCACACAAGGCTTGCGCTTGAGGGAGGGCTGGAGGAGCCTGGGGGCCAGGGCCTGGGGCTCCTGAATGCTCCCCTCCCTGACCTGCACCCTGTGGTCTGGCTCCTCCTCTGTGCCTCCAATGCTGCACTTCCGGCCCCTTCTCCCTTCACCCACATCCTCTATAGCCCCAGGGTCCACCTCTGTTCTGCTGATGCCCAAATTGTAGCCCGGTGACCACCTGCCCACAGCATGGCTGCCTCCTGAAGCATTCCCACCACGTCCAAAGAGAAACCTCCTTCTCCCAGTGTGGCCTCTTTTCACCCAATGAGGCCATGACATCTCCCAGTGCCAGAGCTGGACCTGGCTCAACACCTCCTTGTCCCTCCCTCCTGCCCGTTCCGTCTCCTGATGGTTTTCCGTGCTGCCCACGCTGTACCTGTGGTCTTCTTGTGGGTCCCCAGCTGTGCTCCACGCGGCAGCCAGGCTGAGCTTTCACAGGTGACGCCATCAGAGCCTGCTAGCCCTTGCTTGCCACCTGGAGAAGGCTCCCTTTTCATGATGGTGGCCACCAAGTCCTTGCAGATCCTGACCATTGCCACCCCCCTGTGACCTCTGCCCAGCCCTCCCCTCTGTTTCCTGGGTGTGCAGCATCCCAAATGTAAAGAGCTGTCATGGGTAGCACACGGTGCCAGCCCCTCTTCCGCACAGCCACCCTCCCTCTGTCCCAGGCAGAGCTCGCCACCCGCTCCCCTGGCCCCCGGCCATGGTGCAATGAAATGACCTCTCCCCCTAGCCTTGGCAGGCACCCAGTGCAGTTTAGCTCTGGATCTTCAGTGCCTAGATACAGGAGGCTCTTGGAACATTCTGGCTGAGTGAATGAGAGTGACTGTGAGAAAAAACTTGCCCCAAAGAGGCGGACAGGGGCTCAGAAATGGCCAGAAACCCAGCCCGCCTCCTGTCTCTGCCTCAACTTGCCTCACTGGGGGCATTTTCCTGGGGCACAGGGTTGATGACTCAATGGGGCAGGAACCCTCACCTCACAAACCTAGTGCCAGCTTCTGTCCTCTCCCATCGAGGGAGCCGAACAGGGGCCAACCCTGACCCCTGCCTTCCAGGGGGAAAATATATACTTCTTGATGACCAATTTCCTAGTGACACCAGAACAAGTTCAGGGCAGATGCCCAGAGGCAAGGCTGCCTGGGAGCCTCCCAGTGGGTCCCTGGTTCCTGCACCAGCCCTGGGTCACCAGCCATGTGCCCCTTTCTCCTTCCCAGGTGAGTGAGGGCTCAGCATGTGCTGCTGTAGCCCAGGCACTGAGCTGAAGCCTTCTCGTGAGTCATTTCATTTAGTCTCACAAACACACTGCCCAGCAGGAAGTACTGCAGGCCACATTGAAGAGGAGAAGACTGGGGCTCAGCCACACTGAGTCACTTCCCCGAGGCCTCCAGCCTGTGGGTGACGGGACTGCCCCCTGAGCAGTCTGCTTCTGGAAACTTTCACTGTTGTTCTGTGAGGTTCCCCAGTTGTGGGTTTTGTCTGAACACTGGGGACCTGGGACGTAGCCCGGGAAGCCTACCTCCATGGTGACATCTTTCTTTAATTGAGTCCAACACTGAATCGCTTGCTGGGCTGGAGGGTAACTGTGTGGGTCGCTGTACCCCCACCCCGGGTCCTGGTCATTGGTCCCACCACAATTGCTGGGGGTGCCACAGGTCCTGGATGGCGCTGTCCACAAACAAGGTGAGGCACGTACACAAAGGATGTGCTGGCATTTGGCAAACACACACGATGTCCCTCCTTTTCTAAAAGCTCAAAGACGTCTAGTTAATGTTTAGTTTGTAGACTGTCCTGAAATTGTGCTGGGACCACGGTTCTGTGTTTTCTGGAATCTGTGATTCCTCTTTGTTCATGCCCTGGCTTCTCTCCCTTCCGTTAAAACTGCTGGGGCTGTGAAGTAGTTCATCAGCTCTGACAAGCAGGCTTCCTGAGTTCCTAAATAGCAGAGTTCCTGCCAGCTCCTCTCAGGAGTCCTGATCTTCTGGTCCCTCCAAGCACATGCACTGTGTCCTGGTGGTGTCACAGCCTCCAGCAAACAGCTGTTGAGCCTCCCCCCAGACCAGGCTTGCAAAACTCCACCCTCCCCACCTCAGGGAGCTCCTGAACAGACAGCCCAGCCAGGTGGGAGTCCTGCGATGGGGACAGAAGCTGCAGCTGGGAGACCCAGGGAGGCACGTCAGCCAACTCGGGGCCTCAGGGTTCAGGGGGCCATGCTGGGACCCCGGGTGGCTCCAGCATGCAGGCCTAGTGATACCTCTGTGTCTCTTCTTTCTGCCGACAGCGCCCTGCAACTCACTTCCCAGGCCCTATGGAGATTGGAGAGCCTGGAGTTTGTCCTGTGTTTTCAAGGCATAAAAATGGGCCAGCATTTGGTGTTCAATGGGACCCACAGGACCTGTGAGATCCAAGGCTGGTACCCCGTGGAGAGTGACGCTGTGCCAGTGTATGTGTCCCCGACACCAAGGGCAGGGTCCCAGGACCAGCAGAACCTGTCCCTTACCTCCCCCCACCTGCAAGAAGCCTCTGCTGGTGAGGCTGACACCTTCACGCTGTTTTCAAAAACCTGTAACCTTCACCAAGTTCAACTTCTCCAAGTAAGCACGGCTGGTCCTGGCTGACCTCAGATCCTCCTTGTTCCCTTGCCGGGCCTGACCCCTGACCTCACCTATCTCAGGTCCAATGCCTTGGAGACCTGGGACACCACCTACTTCAAGTGCTGCTGCTATGACCCACGCTTCAGCCCCTACAGCCCTGTGCTCCCCATCAGGGACTTATGGCCACAGCTGGAGGGATCTTGAGGACCTGGCATTGCTGGTGGGCTTCTGGGGGGCAGGGTTCTGAGAGGGCTCAGGGAGAGAGTGCTGGGGCCTGTGTGCTGGTGGAACAGTGACCCGCTGTGTGCAGGGCGGTGCTGTGGGCATCCCCAGCCCCGGGGATTGTGACCTGGACACCAGGGGCTCTGACTGCCAGTCCCCCAACTCCTTCCAGCTGCAGAAGAGGAGCTACTACTTCAGGTGCGGCCCCACTGCCCACCTGCTGCTCCTCAGCCAAGTCCTCCCCGACCTGTCCTCCCGTGGCGTCCGGGACAGACCACACCCTGGCCAGTCCCTCTGGACGGTCTGCTGTGTGTGTGAGGGGCCCCAGGGCAGGAGGGGTGCTCTCAGCTCCAGGTCCCCAGCACAGGCTACGTCCAGCCTCCCTGCTGAGCCCTTTGGCCTCCACCCCACCTGTCCCCACACCCCTGCTGTAGCTGGGACCCCTACCCCAGCCCCTCCTGCACTCCACCCTCCTCCAGCATCTCCCTCCACGCCACAGGGGGCTTTCCTTTTTACTTTTCCCTTAAGGTTTTATCTAAAAAACTACAAAATCTATAGAAAACTTCAAAGGTTAGTATCGTGAAAACCCAGATAGCCTTCATCTGGGTTCACCAGGGCTGTTTTTTGTTTTTCCCGCAATATTTTGCCCCATTTGCTTTCTCTCTCCCTCTCTGGAGTGACCTGGATATATTTAGATAGATTTCACAGAAAATCATTGGAAAGTAAGTGGCAGATATTTGGACACTGACCGCTCTCAACGCTGTCCTGAGAGTGAGGACTGTCCCCTGGTGACCACTGTCCTCTTGTGACACTCAAGAAGTCTAACATTGGCAGATAAATCGAACATTTAAATTTCCCCAGCTGTGCCAATAATAATCCTAGATCTTTCTATTTTCAGACCCAGGATGCAGTCCAGGATCTTGCGTTGCAGGTAATGTCATGTCTGAGTCTCCTAAGCAGATGTCTCCCATCCTTCTGCCACCACATGTCACCTAGTCACTCTAGCACATATGTGCACACAACCACCAAACCTGGAGGTGATGGCCCCTGACAGCTTGCTGAGCTCGGCCTGGCCTGGCTTTGCTGACCTCCCCAGCCCTTCACAACCATGTGGGGCTGGACCTGCCCACGCCCTGCCCCCTCCCCTCTGTGCTCTCCCCGCCCCACGTCTCTGCCTCGAACTCCTTCCTGACGCCTGGAAAACCAGCCTGACAGTCTCCTGGCAGGAAGCCCCTGGTTCCTGGGGGGAGTGAGTCCCCTCTCTGGACCCCACAGCCAAGGCCTGCACCCACCTCCCTCCACCCCCACTGCCGGTGTCTGTTTAGGGACCCTTCTGTCCCCGTCCCCTCAGCAGGCAGGGAGCTTCTGAGAGGCAGGTCCCAGCTTGCTTGTCCCCTGTGTCCTCTGCAATGACACAGGGCTGAGACCCAGGACTAGGCTGGGGGTGGATGGAGTCAGTGGATGAGTAAGATGAGGCCTGTGAGGGCCGGGCCAGCCCAGGAGTGGGCAGAGCAGGCCAGTAGACTCTCCTGCCCCCAGGACAGCCACTCACTCGGGGAGGCCTCAGGTGCAGAGGCCTGGAGCCTGCCCAAGCTCTATGAGGTCTGTTTCACCATCCTCCTCACAGGGGAGGGAGGGGCCAGGTCAGGGTGGGTGTGGGCGGGCAGGGGTGAGGGGTGGTCAGGGGTGACAGCCACAGCCAAGCAGCTCAGCCCAGACCTCTCAGGCAGGGAAGTTTGGTTCTGTGCAGCCAGAGTCCAAGGCAGGGGAGAAAGCAGCCTGACAAGGAGCTGTCTCAGCTACTCTGGTGCTGGGTTCCTAGGGCATGTCCCCTCCCAGCTTTGGGCCTCATCCATGGAATGAGTACAGTGGGCAGATGATCTGACCCCCTGGGGCCCCAGGCAAGGGCACAGGCACCTCTTGGGCCCATAACCACTCAGCATGTGAGCACCAACTTCTTTCTGGTGGAGCCTTTGCGTTGTTGGGGGCTGGTGGTGGAGAGGAAGGTAGACGGGCTGAGTTGGTGGGCATTGGGATCCTTTAGGACCTTCTGTCTGTCTCCTTGGTGACCCCAATGCAACACCATGCTCGCTAGGCTGCAGGGAGCCATAGGGTGGGGAGGCTGTATATGTGGACACATATGTCACTGCTACCCAAGGTCACACCTGAAAACGTGTCTAGCCAGCTGCCCACTGTAACCTGAGGCAACTGCACGAGAACCATGCTCTGACCAAGACCCCAGGTGCAGCCCAGGGGCTGGAGAGAATGTCCGTAACAGACCACATGGAAGCCCCCAGTAGGCGGGCCTGGTTCTGGCTCTGGTATCCTCCTGGGGGCCTGAGTCCTGTCTGCTGGAGAATTCCCCCATGTTCTGGGCCCACAGGCAGGCGGGGAGGGACGGGGGCTGCAGCAGTCCAGCCCTCTCTTGGTCCCAGGGAAGGGCAGAGGTTTGGGGGTACCCACCCCAGGGAGACAAGGGACTGCCTTCTCATGGGTCCCTGGTGACCAGATCATGCTGGCAGCTTGCTGGTGGAGTGACATGGGCCAGGTTGGGGAGGGCCAGGGCTGAAGCTCAGGCTGAGCAGCATCTAGAACATCTGGCACCTGGAGCCCCAGCCAAGCCTTGGGGTCCCTGCTGCCTCTCAATCCCCAGAACAGTGTCCATGGGAAGCAGGGTCAGAAGGGCTGGGGTGAGAGTTCATGGCCCTTAGCCCTGGTAATTGGAGTGGGGTCACATGTCCCTGGCTGTCCTTGGGGCCCAGAGAAGGCTGATGTCAAGGCCGCAGAGAGTCAAGGAGTAAAGCTGCCAAAGCCAGCAGCTTCCTGTGTGGTCCTCACAGGCGGGAACAGGGAGTTGGAGGCATCTATGGTAGATGTAACATGGCCTTCAAGAGCCCAGTGGGGGTTCAGGGTTGGCCTGGCAACCCCATAGACATTGCCCTGCAGCCACCAGGTGGGGTCCAGGCACTCGTGCACCCACCTGCATGCGTGTGTCCCATCCTGAGCCTTCGTCCCAAAGCCCTGAGGGGGCGGCAGGGAGAGATGCTGCTGGAGCTGCGGGCCCTGAGCTTGGAAGCAGCTGTTGCCTCAGTCTGCACATGGCTGTGCGCCCCCAGGGGAGCCGTGTGGGCCTGTGCCTGAGAGATGCGTGTACCCAGGCAGATGGGCCTCCACATCCTGGGGCCTCAGGCACATGCCTTGCTCTGGGAGCCCTGGGAAACTGAGGGAACCCAGGAACACCACTGTCCTTTCCAAACGGCATCCTTGGGGTCCAGGCTCTGCTCGCTGCAGCCGGCCCCAAGGGGACATGTGGGGAACCTGCGAGGGAGCCTTGGCCCACCCTGTCAGGGAGCCCTCTGTGCCTGGTGTGTGTAGCCCCCCCCCCGTGCTGGGCAGAGGGCACTGGCCTGAGGGCAGGACCCTGGGATCCTGGCCTGGTCATGTCCCTGACTCAGGGCTGTCCCAGGGCTGGTGCCTCGCCCTTACAGAACCTCACCAACTTTACTGTGGGTTGTGGACAATCTTCTGGTTCCCAGGAGCAGGCGAGGACTCAGTGCCACAAAGAACATCACAGTGGACACGATGGCAGGCCACGTGGGTGACTGAGCAGTTATTGTGGATCCCTGGGGCTGCAGGCCTCTTCCCTGCCCACCCTGCTCCACCTGCCCAGGTAGCTGGAGTTGGTCATAAACTGGAAGGTGCTAGGCAGAGTCCACCCCAGCAGCACTGGGCACGGCCCACTCCCAAAGACTCAAAGTTCGGCACCTGGGGTAAGGTCTGAGATCCTAAGGACCCCTTGGCATGGGCAGGCCTGCAAATCTGAGCTGCCTTGGATAAAAGGAGCTGCCAGCCCCTCTGTCCCCATGAGGAAGTGCAGGAGGGCAGACAGGCCCCCAGCGGTCCTCATGCACTGGTGTGCTGCTCCGTGTGGCCGGGCTCCTGGGCCAGCGCCTGGCTGAGGGGCTGTAAGGCCTGCGCCATCTCCTCCAGGCCACCACGTATGGCAGTCAAGCCCAGCATCTCCCGCTGGTTCTCCTTACTGTGCCAGATGCCGTAGCCAAAATACACCATGAGTCCTGTAAGGGTGGCACAAGCCTGAGGGGCAGATCCCAGCCCAGCTTTCCTGCTTGCCCTCCTCCTGAAGCCCACCTGGGGTCCCAGCCTGACCCCCACTCACCGATCAGTAGCCAGATGGACAAGCGCAGCCAGGTCAGGTAGTTCATCTGCAGCATGAGGAAGACGTTGAGGAGGATGCTCAGGGCTGGAGTCAGGGGCACCATGGGAACCTGAGGGGCAAGGGCAGGGCTGCTGGGCTGCAGGTAAGGGCTGCTGGCCTGGGGCCTGATTTCTCGGGAGTCCACGGAGCCTTATTATGCCTCTGCAGGTTCCAGAGACAAGGGCCCACTCGCCATGCAGAAAGAGGGGGATGGGGTACTGGCTTCCCCTGCCCTGCGAGCCCTGGTGCATCCTGCCACAGCAGAGGAGGAAGGGGTAAAGGGAGCTGGCTGGGCTGAGAGTGAGGGGTGCTGGCTGGAGGAAGTACCTGAAAGGCGTCCTCCCGGTGCTGTTGCTGGTGGGCCCACAGGACGAGGAGACTGAGCAGAAACACGACGGAACTGAGCAGGAGCAGCAGGGTGTGGCCCCAGGGAGGGAGGTGCAGAGCCGAGGTCCCAAAGACCAGCACGCAGTCCAGAGTGATGGCCGAGGACACCAGGACACCAAGTGCCCAAGCCACAGCGGCTCCAGGTCTGCACCCACCCAGGAAGCCAAGGTAGGGCCTCAGGGCTGGTCGCAGCTGCCCAGGCTCAGGGGCTGAGGCCTGTTCAGTGCCCACAGGGATGGCTGGGCCCAGGGAACTGGCTGGAGGGGAGTTGTCGAAGCGTAGCACGATAATGCTGGTGCCCACGAAGGTAAAGGTCAGCAGTACAGTGATGGACCAGAACTGGACCAGTGTCTGGAGGTCCAGTAGCAGCGCCAGGAAAGCCATGAGGACCCCGAGCACCAGGATGCCCACTATGGGGACCTTCGTCCGGGGGTGCACATGGGCAAACACCTGGAAGAAGAGCCCGTCGGAGGCCATGGAGTATACGATGCGTGGCAGGGTAAAGATGTCACTGAGCAGGACGGTGTTCATGGCTGTGGCAGAGGGTGAGAGACTGGTCAGCAAGGTGGACAATCCCACCAGGGGCCGCTGCTTGGATTCAGGGCATGGGTGGCCCCTTAGGAACAGGGGCATGAGTCTATCTGGGCTCTCAGAGTGAGCCTGAGTGTATGTGGGATGCTGAACTGTTCCCCTTCACAACCCAGGAATGGGACAGCCCAGTTTAGGTGACAGACCCACTGGAGACTCTGATGAGGGCTGAGTCCCTCCATGAGGAAAGGACCTGGCAGCACATGCCCAGAACTGACATTCTGTGTACGATTGGGAGGGTCAGTGAGTAGGTCCCTCCAAACAAGCTTGGGTGGAGAGTCTAATCATTAGCACTGTCTTGGCCCCAGGATGCAACTGGGAACACAGGCCAGATGGAGCTATGTTCCCTGGGTGGCCTAGGGCAGGGCCCCACCACCCTGTCCCCTCCCTCCTTGCCCAGAAGGGCCCCTTACCACAGATAGCACCAGCTGCCACGATGAAGGCCGCCCAACTGTAGCCCCGCTGGTAGAAGGCATCAGCGAGTGCTGAGTCAGGGTCCAGGCTGTGCCAGGGCACAATGAGGGTGAGCACAGTGGAGACGAGGATGTAGGCAACAGCCACCAGGCCGAGAGTGATGATGATGGCCATAGGCACGGCTCGCTTCGGGTTCTGGGCCTCTTCGCTGGAGGCAGCAATGACGCCAAAGCCCAGGAAGGCGTAGAAGCAGGTGGCGGCACCGGCCATGATGCCAGAGAAGCCGAAGGGTGCAAAGCCGCCCTCGTCAGCACTCCAGTTGTGCGGGCGGGCCAGGACAAACCCCAGGATGATGATGAAGAGGATGACGAGCAGGTTGATAGCAAGCAGCACGTGGTTGAGCCAGGAAGAGACACGGGCTCCACAGGAGACAAATGTGGAGGCCAAAAGTATGACTCCGGCAGCCAAGAAGTCGGGGTACTGGGCCAGGAAAGGCACCTGCCAGATGCCCAAATGTGCCATGGTGAAGTTACGGATGCGGTGGCTGAAGATGGCGTCCAGGTAGCTGCTCGAGGCGCGGGCCACAGAGGCACCACCAATGAGGTACCCAAGGAGCTCGTTCCAGCCAATGAGGAAGGCCCACAGCTCGCCCAATGACACGTAGGTGAACAGGTAGGCAGAGCCTGTGCGGGGCACACGGGCCCCAAACTCCACGTAGCATAGGGCTGCCAGCAGGGAGGCCATGGCAGCGATGCTGAAGGACACGAGCACAGCAGGCCCAGTCATCTCCTTGGCCATGGTGCCTGTGAGTACATAGAGGCCTGAGCCCACTGTAGCACCCACACCCAACAGGGTCAGGTCCAGCGTGGCCAGGCAGCGCTGAAGTGATGTCTCCGTGGTGGACTCCTCCAGTTGCTTCACCCGGTTCAGCTTCTGACAGAAGCACACAAGGCTGGTGCTGCTGGGCAGTCCCCAGGCCATGGTGAGCAACTGAGGAGAGCACCAAGCCAGCTGCTGGCACCTATGAGGGTGAGAGGGAAGTGAGAGACTGCCCAGATGGATCCTGACCAGCCTTCAGTTCTTGCTCGGACCCTGCCCTGGAGACAGAAGCCTGGAACCACTGGCTGCCTGGAGGGCTGGATGAGGCAGGAGGTCACAGGGAAGCATGGAGATCTCTTTGGCCTGCCTCCTGGGCAAGGAAGGGAGCCTGGTGGAGGGGGACCTGGGCATGCTTGGGAGGAGACATGAGGGTGGGGAGGGGGCCGCCCCAGGGAGTCTGACTAGGAACTGCTCCAGTGGTCTGGGATCCCAGGGCAGGGTGGAAGCCCGAGGCTTCCTGGGAGCTGGGCCAGGGCTCCAGGACATGGAACAGGAGTAACTCTGGCCCAGTTGCCACCTGGCCTCAGACAGCAGCACTCATGCCCACACTTACAGCCCTGCCAGGCTATGTATCAGTGCCTGGTGGGAGTCGGGGACACCCTGGGCCCTGTGCCTGAGGCCAAGGCCCTGCGACCTGTCTCCATACTGTGGCCAGAGACACCTCCACCATACCCCTGTCCCCAGGTACCCTGTCCCCAGGTACCAAAGCCATCACCTCCTCTCTGGCCTGAGTCTGTCCTGCAGGACTTCCTGCAGCTCACCTGCTGTCACCCTCACTGCCACCACAGCTGCCGCTGCCACCATCACTGGTCCCTACTCCTTGGTGCCAGATCTGGCACCAGACCCTATATCCTGGTCTTACAGGCATTTAGCCGACACTACCCATACCTCACATGGTCAAGACCAGAGATCCCCAGGTTCTAGGGAAACCCTATTACAGTGTCTGGTTCACAGTTGAGGAAGCCCAGGCCACCAGGTAACTGACTAGCCCAGGTCACCGGGGTGGCCTTGGGAGGCTGGTCCAGGTCTGGGGTGGGGGGTCTGGACCCCACCCACTTTACACTGCTCCTTGATCCTTCATCCCAACACATGTACTCCACCAGCTGAGCACCATCCAGGCCCCTCAACACTGGGAGCTATGGGGCTGTGAGCATCAGGCAAGACTCTGGTAAGATGAGGGTATGAATCTGGCTGAGAGGCCCTGGGCAGTGCCTGACCTCTGGGCAAATGGGATGGCAGTAAGGCATCCTCACCTGTTGATGAGGAAGTGCTCAGCTTTGGGGAGTGAATTGGCAGGACTCACGCTGGCTGTTCTGAGCTCGCAGCTACAGGCAATGTCCTGAAAGGAGGCAGGCATACTCCTGGGGACCACCTCCAGCCCTCCAACTTGGGATACCCCTAGGGTCCATCAGACACCAATGACAGCCCTTTCTAGACAGGAGCACATGTCAAGCCTGGAGCACCCTTGGGGACCCTAACGGCAGCTCCCCACTTGTGGATATCCGTAAGAAGTACCATGGACTGAGCATCTACTCCATGCCAGTCTCCACATCATGGGTCTCATCACGTGACCATCATCACAACCCTACCCCCTCAGGCTGATTTATTCCTGGGGCTGAGGGGTCTTTGTCTTTCTGCTCTTTCCACTTCTTTGAAAGTGGAAAGGTTGGTGTGACAGCGTGTTAACTTGTTTACAGCAAAATGATGACAATCCTTCCAAGCAAAGCAAAACCAAAACAGATATCCTCATCCCCCAGAACTTTCTCCGTGTTGTCAGGTTTACATGTGGTTTGTGGAATAGCACTTTAGGGTCACCTGCAGGCTGTCGGGCTCAGCGGGCTGGTGACAGGATGGTGGACTCCCAGACAAGATGGTGCCACTTAGAACGCTCTGCCTTAGCCCGCCCCCTTGCCCCCTTCTGGTGTTTGGCTGACATCGTCTTGAGGAACTTCTCAGATGGGCTCCCACTTCCTGCGGGGATGACAGCTCCTGTAGCTCACTCTTTTGTGGCCCAAACGTAACTGAGCAGATTGTCTTTGCTCTAAAATGCCCTCACAAAAATCCAGAAGAATCCATTTCCAAGCAAGATGGTTCCGCAATTTTGTAACAGGAGCTCCCCCAAGGCCTTGCTGATGACAACCTGAGAGCTGGTGTGCAGGCGTTCGGAGCCCTGACTTTATCTACCCAGAGAGGGCCTCTCACCACACCCCTTCACAGGCACCAACATCCAATGGATATTTGTGGCCAAGCATGGTTGATGCAGTAAACTGTAAACTTCAAGGGATATGGCTGGGCCAAACGCTGCACCCCACTGAGCAAGGCAGTTACACAGAGCAACACCATGAAGATGCAGTGAAGAGAAAGCACTAAAAAATACATGAAAAAGAAGAGAGAACACTTCCCACCTCATCCTACAAAGCCAGGATCACCCTGACACCAAACCCGACAAAGACATCACAGGAAAAGAAATCTACAGACCAACATGTTTTATGAATATAGAGGCAGAATTGCTCAGCTGAATACCAGCAAATCTAGCCCAGCAACATATAAAAAGGATGAAGCAGGATTTATCCCAGGAATGCAAGGTTGATTTAGCATCTGAAAATCAATCAAGGTAGTATATGCCATACTAATAGAAGAAGGATGAAACCACCTGATCATCTCAACAGACATAGAGAAAAACAGTCAGCAAAGCTGGAGTAGAAGGGACTGCCCTCAAACTGATGAAGACCATCTAGGAAAACCCTCGGCTGCTGTGCTCAGTGGTGAGAGGCTGAAAGCTTTCCCTCTGATCGGGAACAACCTCGGGATGTCCTCTCACCACTTGTCCTCAACATTTCACTGGAGGCTCCGGCCATGGCAATTAGGTGAGAGCATGAAATCAAAGGAATCCAGATTGGAAAGGAAGAAGTACGACGACCTCTAGCACAGATGACATGATCTTATGGAGGAAAATACTAAGGAATCCAGACAGAAAATGTTAGAACTAATGAGCAAGCTCAGTGAAGGTGCAGGATACAAGATCAATATACAAAAATCAATTGTATTTCCATAGACTAGCAATGAACTATCCAGAAATGAAATTAAGAAAATGATTCTGTTTCCATAGCATCAAAAAGAATAAATTTAGGGGCTGGCCCTGTGGCCGAGTGGTTAAGTTCGCGCGCTCCGCTGCAGGCGGCCCAGTGTTTCGTTGGTTCAAATCCTGGGCGCGGACATGGCACTGCTCATCAGACCACGCTGAGGCAGCGTCCCACATGCCACAACTAGAAGGACCCACAATGAAGAATATACAACTATGTACTGGTGGGCTTTGGGGATAAAAAGGAAAAAAATAAAATCTTTAAAAAAAAAGAATAAATTTATGTATAAACATGCCTTAGAATAAATTTAACAAAAGAAATGCAAGACTTGTGCACTGAAAACTACTAAACATCATTGAAAAAAATTACAGAAGACCTAAATGAGTGGAAAGACATCCCACATTCCTGGACTAGAGAACTTAATGTTGTCAAGATGGCAATCCTCCCCAATCGGACTGCAGATTCAGTGCAATCCCTGTCACAATCCCAAGTGCTATTTTGCAGAAATTATCAAGCTGATCCTAAAATTCATGTGGAGATGCAAAGGACCCAGCACAGCCCAAACAATTTTGACGAAGAACAAAGTTGAAGGATGACTTACACTCTCTGATTTCTAACAGACTACAAAGCTACAGGATCAAGACAGTGTGTTACTGACAAAAGGATAGACACATAGATCAATGGAATAGAATTGAGAGTCAAAAAATAAGGGCAGTTAACTTTTTAAAGTTTGTAGCCAATTTACATTTATGGTCAATTGATATTTTAAAAATAGACTTCATTTTTTAGGACAGTTTTAGGTTCACAACAAAATTGAGCAGAATGTTGAGTTCCCATATATCCCCAGCCCCTGCACATGCACAGCCTCCCGCACTCTCAACACACCGCAGCAGATTGGTACATGTGTTGTAATTGATGAACCTACACTGAGCCCTCATAGTCACCTAAAGTCCATAGTGCAAATTAGAGCTCACTCTTGGTGTTGTACATTCCATGGGTTTTGACAAATGTATAGTGTGTATACACTGTTAGGGTGTGCCCTAAAAATGCTTTGTGCTTGACCTATTCATCCCTCCCTCCCCACTAACCCCTGGCAACCACTGATCTTCTCACTGTCTCCACAGTTCTGCCTTTCCAGAATGGTGTGTATTGGTAATCAAATCACACAGTCTATAGCCTTTTGAGATTGGCTTGTTTCACTTAGTCGTATGCATTTAGGTTGTCTTATGTTTTCTCATGGCCTGATAGCTCCTTTGTTTTTAGAGCAGAGTAATGTTTCTTGTCTGCACAAAGAGTTCATTTATCTATTCACCTACTGAAGGACATCTTGGTTGATTCCATGTTTTGGCAATTATGAATGAAGCTGCTGTAAACATCCATGTGCAGGTTTTTTTGTAAACATGTTTTCAACTCATTTGGGTAGATATGAAAGAGTGTGGTTCCTGAATCATGTGGTAAAAGTATGTTTAGTTTTGTAAGAAGCTGCCAAACTGTCTCCCAAATGGCTGTGCCATGTTGCGTTCCCACCAGCAATGAAGGAGCGTTCCTGCTTCTCTGCATCCTCAGCATGTGGTGTTGTTGAATTGGATTTCTGCCCCTCTAACAGGTGTGGAGTGGTATCTCATTGTTGTTTTAGTTTGCAGTGCCCTAATGACATAATATGTGGAGCATCTTCGCATTGGCTTGTTTGCCAGCTGTGTATCTTCTTTGGTGAGGTGTTTGCTCAGACCTTCTGCCCATTTTTACTTGGGTTGTTGGTTTGCTTATTGTTGATTTTTAAGAGTTCTATGCATATTTTGGATAACAATTCTTTATAAGTTATGACTTTTACAAATATATTCTCCTGGTGTATGCATTGTTTTCTCATTCTCTTGGTGAGTAATTGATTTTTTTCTTGTTTTTTGTGGGGAAAGATTCGCTCTGACCTGACAACTGTTGCCCATCTTCCTCCTTTTGTTTTTCTCAGCAACGCCCCAGAGCATGGTTGTATATCCTAGCTGTAAGTCCTTCTAGTACTTCTGTGTGAGCTGCCACCACAGCATGGCAGCTGACAGACAGGTGGTGTTGTTCTGTGATGGGGAACAAACGCAGCTTGCCAAAGCAGTGAGCACTGAACTTTAACGATGGCCAGTTGATTCTTGACAAGAGTGCCAAAACAACTCACTGGGGGAAACAATAATCTTTTCAACACACTGTGCT